AATCCACTAATAATTCATTTCCAAAATTTTAAACAATTGGAAAAATTATGAGAACATTTCCCTCCCTAAATCCAACTGACCAATACCATCAAGTGACAAAGCTTAAAATGACAAACTTACATGCTTCAGCATTAAATGATTTATTGTTCATAATTATATTGGCAGTTGCAAAAGCTGCGTGCAGTAAATGTAGTAACAAAACATCTTCAATGCGCATTTCAATTCAAATACCTATAACTCAAAACTTTGTAGCTAAGTATGAATGATTGTAAACATATTTTGAGAATATTTTTTCGTCATTTTAAATCAAAGTAATGATAAGTGGACTTAGATAGATGATTCAATGAAGATTTCATACTGACTAAAAAAGATAAGACTGGAAATCGAAATCAAAAAGATTTCCAAAATGCATGTTCTTTCTAAATCTTTTTTAATTATCAATTTAACCCCTTTTTCAAAATCTCCTCAGTCAAATAGATCGTGGGATTTTCATAAGTTTGAGAAAAGATTCTGAAAGGTAATCATAAAAACCACAGCAGTACGAAAGCATATTAACACTTATTGGACCAGCTTTTTGCTATATTTTTTACTCATTTTAACTGTGTATGACGACCTACTCTCTAAACTGTCATAATAAAGAAAGAAAAATCTAACTGATATCACTATCTTTAGAAATTTTCTTTAAAGCTTATTCAAAATTAGAGATATCAAGAACAAAATTAGAATTTTAGCTTTCCTGCAAACAAACATATTTATTTTTCTCATCTTTGCATGAACTAATTCTAATTCCACTCATTGCTAACTTTTTCTTCAACTTACGAATTATTGGGAAGAACTCGGCAATAGTGAACTAAAAAAGAAAATCGCAAACTGCTAAAAGTGATGAAAATAAAAAGATTGAGGAAGGTTCAGAAATAGGGAAGATGATAGGAGATAGAAGTGAAAACAGAATTAATGAAAACGAAAAACATGGAAAAAGATAATGACCATAGAAATTATTTTCCACCTTATTCAAGCTGAAGAAATAAAATAACAAAGGACAATAACCACTAGTAAATAACCACCGATAAAAAACGGGTAGATGCACAATTGCTACTTGAATTAAATTCATCTAAAATATCGATAAATCCGAAGACATGCCAACGAAAAGTACAAAAATACAAGTCGAGTTTAAAAGTACCACAGAATAATTTCAGGCCTTCAGAAATTTTAGAAAAACAAACGATTTTAAAAAAAACCTGCATTTGGAAAATTTGAATTATCAAAATCGTGCAGAAAACGAAAAATTATTAGCATGAATATCGAGTGAGTATTTTGCTTTCTTGGTTCTACATTTCAACAATGAGACTTCATAATCAAATTACACCTAAACTTTATTTTGAATTTGCATCATTAAATTATATTTCCATTGTGAAAAACTTGGAAACAACTTACATTGCTTAGAGGCTAAAAAGACATGAAAACTACACATTTAGATATCCACTACACATTTAGATTCATTAGTAATCGAAGTTGGAGGGAACTTAAAAGAACCTGGAAAATAAGACCATTGCTAATGGAATACCAAGGATGTTTTCTATTTTTTCTTCCAGTTATTTACGTTGTGGTAATGAAATCCCGACTTTTCAGAGAAATTTTGGTGAAATTCGATTGAAACAAATGTTTTGTTTTATAACTTCCGTTCTTTAAATTTTTTTCTTAATCCAACATTTGGAGATGCACTTTTTAATATTTTTACGTAATAGGAAAATACTACTAATATATCTAAGAAATCTTGGCTGTTGAAAAACTAAGATCTAATTTCGACTGAGGTTTAACAGGCAGGATTGAAGAAAGAAAAAAGAGGAACTTGTCTTTCTTTGCAAGAATTCAATTACAATATCAACAGTTTGTGGCAAGATTAAATTAGCAAAAATTAGCCAGCATAAACAGATAAACAGAACGAAAAAACTATTTCTCAGAAAGAAATAAGAGTGAAAACAGTTAATAAATAAGTTAATATTTAATAGTTGAAGGATAAGCACATTATTAAGCAAATAAGAGAAATAATGAAGCAGTAAAAAAGGAAAAAAAAAGATTAAAATATGGTAGCAAAGGTGGATAAGCACAAGAAACAACCCGAAGAAGAATGAATGGATGGAAGAGGCATATGTTCATCTATTACATCAAACTAAGAAACTGACAACAAACGAAAACGTTTGTTCCCTTGTTGAGAGCGCATCTGCCGGCTGTTTACTGATGCGGACTAGAGATATTGCTCATTTTTGAATATTACTTACAATTGGGAAAAGCATATTTTAAACACGATGTTGCAAGCAAACAATTAAAGTAACCAACAATCCTGAAAAAGATCGCTTAGGAGGATGTTCAGTAGAGTAATTTAAAGGACATGCATTGGTTACAAAGTCAGCAAGTGTATTATTTGTAGTACTCACCTAACAAACAAACAAACAAAAAGCAACAGATATACGTTAGCGCTATTTAAAAACAACAGCGTATAATTTACGCATTTATTAATAGCTATTTTAAAAAAATTTTATGCATTATAGTTGGTCACAAACTTTTGCAAAGAGTAAGAAATGTCCACTTGCACTCAACCAACAGACAACAAATGCGTATTTGCGCTAAAGTCAATAGCGCACGCACTGCTATCTTATCACAAGCACAGAATTGCACTTCTTTAAAATTTAAAAACTTAATATGCATTCTTACCCCTACAAAATCACTAAATGCACATTTGGGTTTATCAAGGCTATCAAAAGAGTCAACAAGCGCACATATGCATTATTAACTTATCACAATGATTTTCAGAAGCTAGCAGATTTACATTTATGCGTTGTCAGTTTATTATAAATTATAAACACATATTTACGCATTCTTAGATAAGTAAAAATACAATTTAAGCGACATTACTTAAGCATACTTCAGCACTATTAATTTACAACAAGTGGACATCCATGCTAGTGGCAACCCACACAAACACACATTTATGCAATAATAACCTTCACAAAAACACATTCATGTGATGAAAAATGTAGATGTGCGCACTACTGATCAACAACTGAAAAAAATGTTGACTGACTAAAAGGCTTTAGATAGTCCTTATCTTTTTTTATTACGAAGTTTCACCATCAATAAATTTTATTTTAATAGCACTGGATATAGTACACCTGTGGTCTAGAAAATGAATGAAATGCTTAGAACCTTTTTGGTTGAAACAAACATTTCAGTTGCTTATCTACTGAAAATTGGGAATCGATAGCTTTTTCCAATAATTTTTAAGATGAGAAACTGGAAAAGCTCAAGGTATAGTTGTCATATCGCAGAAGAGAAATATGCAAATTTTAGAATTACCGGCCGCTGTTGGTAATAGTTAAAACTGAAGAATAATGCAGTCTTCTAACTTACGGTATTTTAATTATCTATTGAACATAAAAAATAATGCTATTAAAGGCAAGTATGAACGTAATCAGCTGATCATATTCATTTCAAATGATGCAGGTTTTGAAACGATTTTTGGTTTCTCTTCAAAAGATTCCCTCGGGCAAACTCGGTATGAGAAGTATGAAAAAGCGATACTGATCCTAGGTGGAACCTTCATTACAATTGGTTTTAATTTAAACACATTGTTTTACTTAAAATCCCAGTGAGGGGAAAAAAGACATTTGGATGGTTAAACTATAATACCACTTGCAGCTTATGCGTATAATATAATGCTTTGAAGTTACAAAACCCCCAATCATATTTACACGTACTGTTTGCCACTTACGCGTTGACCCCAATTGCGGAACGATATGCACTTTTATTCTCCCTCTCCTAAAAATGAATTTCATTTTACTGCTGAAGGCTCACAAAGAAAATGCCATATCCCTTCTTCTACTCCCAACATATTATTCCTCTAATAATGCCTACCGTACTACTGTTGTTTGTTAATTAAGCGTCTTCGCATTGGCTAAAATTGCGCGTTGGGGATGATAGAAACTTTGGTATTCAGAATTAGGGACAAAGAAGTTTAGAGTGGCTTTCAAGTGGGACCTAGGCAATGATAAAGTTTACCTAATTTCTGGGCCAGGAATTTTGAGTTTGTACCAGAAATCATTCAAAGCTTACGCTCATGCATAGTTTGTTCTTTTAGGCATAAAGTAAATGGATGGCTTCTCATAAATGTTGCTAAACAGTTTCTCAGTGTTTGCCTTGTTTAGTTTCTTTTGAATAAAAATAATTTAGAGTAGCTGACGATACGTTGGCACTAACAGCACAGAATACAATGAAATAGGAAGATAACCATCGTTCTATAAGTTTCTGTTAGTATAATTCAAAAAAGTATTATGGTTGGACTCTCTACTCAGCTTAATAAGATTTAACAATTTCTGTAGCATTGCTTGAAGTGTCATGAAATGATGTAGCTTTTTACTGTTTTCTTATGGGAAAGGATATTGCCAAGATTTTGAATCAGGGAGGAATGCAGCGTATCGTGAGTTCACTACGCTGAAGCTGTCGGAAAACCGAAAATTTTTTATTACACAGTAAGTGTTTAGAATAATACTAATGATTCATTACTACAAACTAATTCGTTATTCCTTTGTTATATCCCATTTTTTTGAAACAATGAATCCTTTATCTAAACCTCAAATAGTAAATGTACATCTGTCTTCACTGTAAATGTTAATCTGCTGCTAAGCCAACCCAGCCCACTTTCTACATCCTTAAAAGCCTTCTTTAATCTGATAACAACAAAGAAACGATCGGTGCAGTCTTCTCTTCCTCCTACTCACTCAACAGTACCACTTACTCCTTCGCTGTTCCAATTACTCCACTATATACTTGTCGGTCGATCTCGCTTGCAGATAAGAAGCAAAAGCTTCAGTTTAAGTCCTACAAACTTCACGTAAATCAAGTGAACTTAACTAACCGAAATCATCTACTCTTCTGACCAAGAAGTTCTTCAAAATCACGACAAAATTTTTGGTGCCACGAACCGGACGGAAAGTAGAATTACAATGGCTTTTACTATTATTGGAAGTATTAAAACTGCAAAGGACCGTCTAGAAAGATTATTGAATGAGGTGAAAACTATGGATATCCAATTTCCAGACTCAACCTTACCGAATCACGAACGACTCGAAATTAACAAAACCAAAAATCGACTCATAGATGAAAAAATTCTTCGACTGCAAATGTGCACTGACTCTATCGAAGCTTTAAATAAACAGTGGATAGAGGTGCCCAAAAATCCAAAACGAAAAAAGAAGATGAGGAAAACTACGCACAAATAGCTACGGGACAACAAAATATCTTCATTCTGAAGCACGAAGCAAAGGAGGCCACTATCACGCTGACTATGTACAAAAGGGAAATTAATAATGAAATCAAATAAATAACTTCTGAACTGCCAATAACGGAGTTGAAAACGCCAACATCCTATCGCAACATCAACCTTCCTCAGCTATCTCTACCCAATTTCGATGGAGAACCCGACAAAAGCTATCATTTGTTATGGTAATGTTTTAGGGTCACCTATACTTCATTTTATAGCATGAGAATTTTAGATGGGCAAATAGTGGTAGTGCTCAGATTATTAAATATTTAGATTAGGTTTGGAGAAGGGAAAACATTTTCCCTTTGTCGCCCTGAAGTTATAATACAATTTTGACAACTCTTTTTATTTTATAAAAAGAATTATAGCAAAAGAAATAACTTTGATAATGCTAATCGGCTGTAACTGCAAATTTCTCTTTATTAGAATTTTTGTTTAACTACGATGTATTAGAATACCACCACTACTATGACTTGTCGAGGACTGATAGGTTGAAAGATATCAATTGGAAAGCATTAGAATTTTCGCACAACTGTTTGTATGCACCAGATTCATAATAAAATTTCGCATTATGATAGTTCACATTATGATAGGGAAGCAAAAGTTCTCCTGGATTAAGCTGTGTATGATCGTTACATTATTATTTTTATCTGGTAAAATGATGTTTAGAAAGAAATTATTCAATGGGTCCACGTGACTAGCACAAAATCAAGCATTGGAATCTAGTAAAAAACGTCAAAATAGAGTTTGAAGGCATAACGAATTCTTCACCTTTTGCTTTCTTTTAGTGACAGTACATACCGCAATAAAATGATTTACTTCTACAAAGACTGTTTATGAGTTTTGAAATGTCATCATTTTATAAAATTTTAGTGATTGGTAGGGAAGCTAAGATTAAAGGACTAAATATTATTACCTCAGATGGATGCTTCAGAACTTTTCACTCGATAGGAGGTTGCTGATAAATCTTTTGTTCAGGTAATATTACATTTTTTAGAATACATCCTGAAAAGATATTTATGGAAATGGACGATTGGAAATTTGTTTTCAGCTTCAGTTTTTTTGGTACCGCAAATGGAATAGGAGCAACTGTTGGGTTTATGAATTTCGACTGATTCTAAGTATCATTTGCGTGAGAACCGCTTGAATTTCGGAGGGTGTTGTCTATGAGGTGCAACTAATTTGGCATATTTTTTTATATTTGATGGCGCGTTTCCTTCTGTGTATGACATGAGGCAAGCAGTTGGTTGATGGCTTTTGATAATATCGTTATCAGATTTCATGCTGAAGAACTAAACTGGAAGCAAATAGACTAGCAGAATTGGAAAGAAAAATGCACACCTTGGCATGGAAGTTTATTTTTCGTGGAGAGTTGTTGGTCTGCAAATAAACTGTTAGAAAATTGTATATTGACTTCTAAGATTAGATTTCTTATTGAATTCTTCATTTGTTTTTTTTTATTGAAATCTTTAGTATGGTTTTTTAGATTGATCAGCTAAGAGGGAGCATGGGAAGAAATAAGCATATCACAGCGACGAAGCTGTGGCGATCACAGGAGCGAATTTACTGCATCGCTCAAATTCTTCATCATCCTGGAAACACATCGAAGTATCTATAAGTCCTTGAAGAGCGAGTGAGGTCTGTAATTGGATCTCGAGAATGGGGAACAGTTCGTACTCCATTTCTTTAACGAGCGAAGCAGGAAATTTTTCAGGAGAATAAGCCAGTGTTGACACCGGCGTAGGCGGTTGCGAAAAAAATATGGCGGAGTGGAGATAGATAGTACCCAAATCATCCTACAATGAGGAGGGTATAGATGTAGCATCAGGAACGTTGACAATCTTCCGGAAGAAGAGAACTGGAAGCGGTTTATGAAATTGCACTGTAAATTTATTTGCACTTGTGCAAATATTGGTGTGGCAACAAGTGATAGTAACGAAAATGATACCAAAGATGTTTAAGAATATTTTTCGGGAGTTCTTGAAAAAGCCTGAGTTATGGAAGAAGAAAGAGAAGAGGTCTTCCATGCGCCGGTAATAGGAAATTTACCGATTACTGGATTATCGTTAACTGACTCGAGCGCAGTAGTTTGGAATACTAGTGAGCCTACTGAAATTGGTAAATTTAATTTTATTTCATTAGTATATTAAAAAATTTCGTGTGGCTTTGAATGAATTTCGAAGATGAATTTAAATATTTGTTGTATTTCTAGAGTATGGTTATGCCTAAGGAAAATAGGAATTGAAGGGATGGACGAATCCATCCCAGAAAAATGCATATACGGTAGATTTAATTTGACACTGTTAGGATTAGAAGGAGTTTCTGAAAGTACAGAATTGTTTTTTGTTTTGAAATAATGCAAAACTCCACTCCTTTTTGGTCAACCTTTGTCTTTTTTAAAGGGTACAGCAATATGGGACTTCTACCTGAGCTCAAATGAACAAATTTTTTCTGTGCATTCAGTTGAAAAGCTATCTTCATTCAAAATAAAATGATGATTTTATAAACTGCTTCTATTTCTCTCTGTTCCAGAACCACTGCTAAGGATGATTGGCGTAACACTGCTTCCACTCCGCCATCTCCTTTTTGCAACTGCCTTCGTTGTTAACCGATGTCGGCACTGGCTTATTCTCCTGAGAAATTTCCTGCTTTGCTAGTTGTTAATAATCGTGAAAGTGAAGAACGAACTGTTCTTCATTCTGAAGCCGAAGTAATGGAGGATTTGCGTGATGCAGTAAATCCGTGTGATCGTTACCATTTTGTTACTGTGATATACTTACTTCCCAGGATTTGTAAGATGAAATTAATCTAGCTGTTTTTAAGTTTTCACAAATTTTAATAACCTATAATTTATAAATACTTGCAAACACAGCAACATCGTTTCACACATCTTATTCATCGGAACTTATTCCCATTCATTTTTTTCAGAGAAAGATTAAAACTAATTCAAAAAAAAGACATAATATAAAGAGAAACATAATGAAATATTCGCTCTTTTGCTTACAAAAGAAAATCCCTCTTAAATATAATCACGAACAAATGTAATACTTAAACACCGTAGCATAGGTGAGGTAATGAATAGCACTCTGTGTGTTTATTGAAAAAACACTCACAGCTACTGATCGCCTTCAAGTTCAAGCATGTCCTGTTTGTCCTGTTCGACAAGATATACTTTCTCACAATCTAAAGAAATAATTTTTCTTTTTGCAGTGTTCCTTTACCAGGAAAAATTATGAAATCATCTGACCCTTTTAATTTTTGTAGCCCTTTTTGTAATTAACAAACACATTTTTGTTTGTTTTGTGACAGTTATCCATTAAAAAAATCAAATATAAATTTGAATTTCGACCAAGATTTCCTTACAAAACATAAGAATACTTCAATAGTGTTTGCTTCATCAAGGAAAGACGATATCCTCTTTACTACGACACTGTTCATTTTCTTGACTGTCTAGTCAAATTCGTCATTTCTCAGTTGATATTCGTCTTAGTTGCTATATATCTCTTTTGGAAGAGCAAGAAATTTTAAATTTGTGAATTTACTTCTGCTTTTATCATCTGTTGTATATGTTCTCATTGTTCATTCAGTTTTCAAATCATTTTTATAGTGGTAACTTCCTCTCCATCTTTCATCTATTAGATGAGTGATAAGTAATCCGTTTATATAAATTACTTATCAGTCAGGCATAATGCACGATTAAACGCTTGGAAAATTTAACAAACTGAACCGTCGAATTCCGATACGTGAAAATGATTCTTTAATGCTTGGTGTTTATTCCAATGTTTTTCGCTCAGTGAATAATGATTTTTCTCTTCCATGTTACAAAGCTAAATTTCCTTGGATATGAATCGTAAGTAAATGTTCTATTAAATTTAATAGCCTTTGCTAATTGGTAATTATAAATAGTGGTAATTTTCGATAACACATATTTTAATATGAAATTTTTTGATCTTTTTGTATAATAAATCTTATTTTACTTTTCTACCACCCAGTGACGTGTAATTGATTAATTATTGCTAGGACATTACATGACCCTTTAATTTTATTGCATTTCATGTATTGTGTCTAAATCTGTATTAGTTTGATTTTTGGTGCTTTTTTTTTCTTTTTAAATTCACTAGCTACATTTTATTAAATCCCGTGAATTTCATGATCATTGTGATGTTTGAGAGCACCGTTATTTGTACTGCTTAATTTTGAAAAATTATTTAACCATCACTTTTGATGTAGTTGCAAAACAGATTGCGAAATAATTCATGGAACTAACAATCATGAATAATCTAAATGTTGTCTATATTTAGTGAAATGACTCATTATGTCGAATAAATTGTAGTGAGCAGTTATGAAGGTTTTCATATAATGACTATTTTAATGTATTGATAATCTCCAAAAAACTTTGAGTTGTTTTATAATTTTCATACACCAGTCTTGTAACTGAAAGGTACACGACATGCTTGCGTACCTCTTTAATTCAAAGTTTTTTCAACTACAAGAATCCGTTAAGTAGAGGGAATTGGACTTATTGAGCACAGAAAGTAACGCTCTGCTATCATTATTTAGTAATAATAGTTTTAATGACTGGCATGAAGTTTCGTAATGGAATGCAAGCATTCATTATAAATGATAGAATTTATTCTTAAAATATTATTTATTCTATACTATTCTAATTCACCTAATTGCATTCTCTCTGTTCCATTTCTCCTTATATGATGATCAGATTGCTATCTCATACTTGGAATGTAAACTTCAAATTTGTGCACGACTATGCTTTGATTTTAATGATGCATTAACATAGTAAGATGTCGAGCAATACCATCTTAAGGTTATCCTACGCTGCTCTATTTACATGTTTCAGATGTCATCTATAAGAAAAATAAGTGCAACGATGTTAGCTTTGATGTAGAACTTAATCTCGAGAAACCATGTATTGAGAAATATTTCAATCACCGAATATCATTTTAACACTTTACAAAACTCTACAGCACTTCAAATTGAGAGAACGTATAAAATAGTCTTAGCAGCTATATTTCGTCCACCCTTATTTCATAAATTACTATAATAAAAGAAGAAAAAACCTAATAAAAATTTGAAGTTAGTAAAGCACTGCCATTTCAATTTGGGGTCTGTAAAAAAGTAACTGAAAAGAAAGTTATGGCTGTAACTATTTCAAAAGCTAAGATTTTTTCTGGATGAGCCCATCATGATTCTTCAATTAACAAATTTAACCTATCTGATGAGCGAATCACCCTATTTATTCATTTGACGGATTCATTCAAATTACTGTATATTAATTTGTTCGACTAATGAGAGAAAAAGCTGAACTACATTATCCTAAAACTAATTTGAATCTCTGTACATTTGAAGAGAGATGTGGAAAGATTTAACCATGATTATATAAAGCACTTGAAAGAAAACGAGAAAAATGACATGTCATGAATTTTGATTCATTTTTAAAATCCAATTAAACTAATTTCAACAAGGGATGTGGAATTCTGTCTTCTGTAATTTTCATCCAAATAATTCAATATTGTTTGAATTACTGCTAAAGTTGATAAAACTTTAGCAGTAATTTCGGTGTATCATTTCAGTATGAATTGATAAAGGAAGAAGGCAAATTTTATTGCTATGGCACTATCCCACCCATTACAACATTTCACCATGTTTATCTTGACTATAAATATAGCATTGTCTTCATTTCCTTGATTTATCACATGGACATGGAGTAAGTGATTAAATACATGAAAAAGAAAAAAGTTGAAATAATAGTGTTAATTATGCTATATGACTTTATTGATGTACTCGTAACGTAACGAATATGCCTCATGCTACCTTACACCAACACTGACACTTTACTATATTGACTCCATTTAGCAAATTCCATGTCCCTTATCAGAGCCATTTAAATAAAAAACTACTTGCTATCTAAAATTTCAAAGTTTCTGCTCTCAACAACGAATTTCTTCGATTTCTGAAAGTAAGAAATGAGTAATAAATAATAAGCTTATCCTTGGCCAAAATACTAAAAAGCATCGACTTTGTCGATCAGTGGCGAACAGCGAAATACAAATGGACTAAGCCACTCCTACTAAGACTTACCAGGAAACGTCTAAAGAGGAAAAAAGTATAATGAAATTCGCTGAACACTTTTCCTTCCTCTGTTGCTTTTCTTTACATTAGCGTTTACCACCATTGCCGTTTTCACGAATAGCAAGCACTCTTTATAGTCTTTACAGTCAACACTCTGTATCTTCAATACTGACAACTTATCATCAGTCTCATTATTACAATTAACATCTCGAAATACTGTAAATGAATTTCTGTGTCACTCTCTTGGCACTGACGCATCATTGTATTACGTGTATAAATGCGCACTACCTCACGGAACACGATTATGAGCAGGTAGTTGTTATTTGTTCGCTATTTCTTTGTCGTTTATTGCGATTAGTAGTTATACCGCATATTTCATTAATGTTAAGGCGATGAAAGGTGATACAGTAAAAGCACAATAAAGACACGATGATATATATATCATAATTTATATATATATATATATCATAATCAAAATTTGGTTAGCCTATTTATAGTATATTCAGTTGAAACAAGTGACAGAACATTTATAATGCATTTATGGTACTTAAGGTCATGATAAAAGTTCGCCAAAAACGCGAAGAAGTAACGACACGATCGCAAGGAGTTAACAGTATGGAAATACCATCGAAATTACTAAGACTATCAAAGACACATCAACTGAAACAAGTGACAGAACAGCACTGCGAAACAAATAATAACGATAAATTGGCTAAAGTAAAACATTTTAAGATTCTTGAACTATGAGCTATCTGTTGATATTTTGCATGTCAAGCATTTATGTTTATAATAGAAGTCAGAAAGGCACTAAAAAATAAATAGATGCAATTCATCTACAAAATTTGGAAGATAAATTGCAATTTTTCTATGATCTATTACAAAAACCAAAGTGGTGAATTTCGTGAAACTTCCTCGAATATCATGAAAATTCTAAATAATGAAGTTATGTTATTGTTGGACAAATGTTCAACACTGAATAATCGGATAATCTTGGCTAAACAATAGAAAGAAAATAAAGGAAGAATGAAAATGGTGAAATAGATAAATGGTGGTTAACGTTAGAGAATAGAACATGAAAGAAATAAACGAGGAGGAAAAACTGATATGATCAACATCTTTTAATTCGTGAAATAAGAATGGTAATTAATAAATTTTTTTGTTTAGCTTATTATTATTTTTTCATTCAACTTTAGTAAAATCATATATTAATAGAGTAAAATTCATTTCAAGTCGGTATTGGAACATCTGATGCTTTCGTATGATCGTAAAACGGTACCAATGGCGGATGGTGTTAATGTGAAGGTTGATCTAATGGTTCAGGCTATTTCTAGTATATCCGAAATGACTGCTAGTTTTACTGCAGATGTGTTTTTTAGCCAAATTTGGCTTGATCCTGGACTGGCATTCGAAAATATCACCAGGTAGATTATTTTTATTAATTAATTGGAATTTCTTAAATAATCTCATACGGATAGAAATGAAGTATGATAGTTTTGGTAGTTCTTTTTTCTTTTTTTTTTTCGTTTTGTAATAATAGATATTGTAGATGCTTGGCTAATTTAACGCTCAGCTACCGTACCATTGATGATATTTGGTTGCCAAACGTATGTTTTCAGAATAGTAAATCTACCTCAATACATAGTAGTCCAACCCCAAATATATTTCTTATGATTTATCCTAATGGCACAATTTGGGCCAATTATCGGGTGAAGGTATCAATTTACTAGTCCTTCATTGTTTTATGCAAAATTTTTATGCAAAAATTGTGATATATTTTCAATTACATATGGGATATTCAACTGCATCCAGTGCGAGGGCTAATTATTGAGAATACAGTCCGTTTGTGTTTATAAAAATTAATGAAAAAGGATGCGACAAAGGATAAAATTTTAAAAATAAGAAAAGTTTCCAAAAAATATCTAACTTTTTCACTTGTCACTTGATAACAAGAAATGATTTTTAAATCAGTTCATTGCAAATATTTGGCGAAAAATTAGGTGGAAGCACCATGTGAGTTGGATATGTCATCATTCCCGATGGATGTACAGCGATGTACTATGACCTTCGAATCTTATTCCTTTAATGTTGATCGTGTACGACTGGACTGGTTCGAAACAGCTGTTATTCTAGATTTGCAGGTTTTTCGTTGATTATTTCAAGTATTGTACATTGGAATTTGACTAAAGTTTTTCCTTTGATTTTAATTCCAGAGAAACTAATCTACCAAGTTTCAAGGGATCATACATTACTAATATTATAGTATTATTGTTTATATTAATTGTTATCAATTCATATACATTGTCAGAATTCTCAGGTGATTTAGCACTCGGTCCTTTTCTTGGTTGTATTTATTGTAAATGTAAGCTGATAAAATCAGTTCGTCGGCTTACATTGCCTTTTTCTTCAATTCATTCAGACAATTAGTGAGAGTAATGCTATCACAGAACTTTAAGATATCGCTTCTCTTTCTGCCTCTTTATTATAATTAGTGAAGCTATTAAAAAAAGCTTAGTACTCTGTTTGCAGGGGAAATTACCAGATTTTGAACTAAAACGCTATACATGGAAGAAACAACAATTTTATTATCCTGCGGGACAGTGGGATCAACTGAAAGCAACTTTTTACTTTCGTAGAACTTACGGTTACTACATTTTGCAGCTATACATGCCTACGTATGCATCTGTTTTCATTAGGTATATTTGTCGAAATCTAGTTTGATATTTGTTTAATTTAAAAAATACAGTAATCAAAAATTGTCAGCTCTTTTGACTTTAGGAAATTCATTGAATTTCAATTATGATTTCCTTCCTTTTTTCAACGAAAATTCGTATGATGTTTGATGTATTAATGAACGGTTTCGAATGAATTTTTAAAAAATTCTTCAAACTTTTTCTAAAAGTCAATTTTCAGTCATTTATTCACCAAAAAAAGAAGAAAATCAGGAAATAAATTCAAAATTTACGCTCTTTCCTGCATTAGTAGAGTTTTCATTGATTTCCATATCCATTAGCTGACACTTTTTAACAAAATTTTCGTTGATTGCTAAAATTTCATTTAAAAGTAAGAAGAAATCAAATTTAATTGTCTGAAGGAAAATTTTTTTCATTCAAGAGAAAAAATCTTTTCATCGCACCATAAAATTAGATACGTTGCAGAATAATAGAGACACCGTACATCGATCTAAAATTGTTGCACGAAATGTCTAACTCGGTCCAAATTGATCAAAAAAGTTTGCATGATTTAAAAATTTGAATTGAACAAACTTCAACTTCGGTTCTTAATTTTTATGAAATTATGGGAATTAAATCATTTTGTTGCTCACAAAAACTGCACGCATTAAACATTTAATTGCTCACAAAATCAAAAAATACTAGTAGAAACGAAAAAACAAATTCATTTCAAAAATATTTACAGAATTTTAAAGAAGTGAAAAATTTTCACTATTCAGATTTATTCATTTAAATCTTTCATATTCCTTGAATCAACGAATTGTCATATTTGTTCCATTAATTTTTACTGCTTTTCGTCTGTTTCGAACCCCAAGAAAGACAGAAAATTTATTCTGTTATCTTGATTCGAAAATTAAACTGAATTTCATAGGAAGAAACCAAATAGATGAAAAAATGTTTTATTTTTTAAGCTGGATAGCATTCTGGCTGGATCCAAAGTGTTTGCCAGGTCGAATAACCCTCGGTGTATCTTCACTGATGGCGCTTACATTTCAGGTCTTTTTATTTCAAACATAATGGTATTCGAATTTACTTTAATTAAGAATGTGGCCGTTGGAATAAAAAAGTAAATTGGAACTAAATTCGTCCTACTTCTTTTTCGTTAATTGCAATCTCTAGATGAAAGAGAATTGTGTTTTAGTATGGCAATGTGGCTCGAAGTTTACCTAAGGTTTCCTATGTGAAGGCAGTGGATGTTTGGATATTTGCATCCATGGTAAGCACTGAACGACTTTAATTATTTTTACCAGGAAAATTTTTATATATCAATATTTTAAATTCATTTGATTACGAATCCTGATTAGAAATTGAATTTGGAAACAGCCATTATGTAAAATTACGGAAAAGTAGTCTAAACTGTTTTCAGGGCTTTATATTTTTTTCACTGGTTGAATTAGCCATTGCTGGACATGTAGATAAAATGGCGAACGATGGCAAAGACGAAACATTTGACAAGGTCGAGAAAAGGAAAAGCTGTATCAAATGCAACTGTCAAACAAAAGCCCGAAAAAGGCAAGTTAGGAATTTAAATAATATTTACCTTTCGACCATGACATACCACATCGCTGCAAGATCGGAATGGATGCCTTCCAAACAATAATCAGTTTGCCAACTTGATTTTTTTTTACTTTTCGGAACTGTTTTCCTGATTTAAAGTGATTCAAAATATAACTCATACGGCTTTATTACATTTTATTTTCTGAATATTTCCCAATTAAGCTAAGAGAATAAGAGGAAATGTGTTGTTGTAATAAAGCTAGTTGAGAGGTCAAGAATTACGGATGAGTCAGCAATTTAACTTTAAAACTAGTCTTGATCAATGATAACTAATTACAGAAACTTATCCTACCACTTTAATATTTATAAAAATGAATTGCTGAGGTGCTCGCAAACTAAATGACTGTTTCAAAAAATTAGCTATATGAAAAGATAGAATATTTGACGATAGCAAATTGAAATCAAAATACTGCAGACAGAATATTTGGCGATAACAAATAAAAATCAAAATGTTACAGACATAAGGTATCATCGGAAGCATACAAAGTGAGAATGAATGCAAACGAAGTTCATAAGCTAGAGAAGATTTGCTATCGCGATTTGTTGAGTGATAAGAATAAATCAAAGTTTAAATGGACGGCTGAAAAGGTTTTTAATCTTTCATTTCAAATGAGATTTCATTTTATTTAATTCATTTTGCTTACATTTACAATTATGGCAAATAAACTAGCACTAGATTATGCAGAAGATAGCTATCTCTTTCGAATATCAATGTCTGTTACCTTATTGGTCTATTAGTCCTGTATTTTGCGACGTTTTGCAGAGCCATAGGTTAAGGCTGAAATTAGGCATATGTATAAAAGAACAGAGTGAGTCTTCTTTGTACTAATTTTACTTTTAGAACTTTTCGCGCAACACATTTATCTTCTAATGAAGTCTTATCATCAACGTTAGTAGAGAAGAAAGCTAAAAAATTTTTGACTCTTATAATTCAATTCGTGGTACTGATCAGATGAAAGTGAAATTCACATTTTCAGATTGATAAACTTTGTCAGTTCATTTTTCCTCTATCATTCATATGTTTTAATTGCTTTTACTGGATATATTACACCACGGAATCATCGAAACAAATGGAAAGATTGTTGGATGATGCCAATTTCACTGACGGATCTTTTCTACTAACCAAACGAAACATCGGATGACTTTTTTCCTTTCTGAAAATAAAAATGAATTAGACAATAAAAAAATCATTTTATCATCATGATTACTTTTTGTTATCTAAAAACTTCGAATAGATTTCGAATAAACTATAACCCATTTTCCTCTTGAAATTCAACAGTAAATCTTTGTCTTACACTATCATGAAATATTTGTCTCCATCATACGAAGATTATGAAGGATGCAAATATTTTATAATTGTAAATAAAGGTGTGTTTTTATTTGTCAATTACTTGTCAATCTGTAACAAACATTACCATTCCCCTGCTGCAATAATTCTTGCATCTATATATTAGTGGAAAAGGAAGAGGGAAAGTGAATAAACTAAAATTTTTTTATTAATTATGTACCTCATGCAATCTTTTTGACATGACAAGAAAAAAATTATATGCGATAAACAGAATATAGTTTATTAATTAGCTAATACCAAAAATAAATATTTTAGAAAAAAGTTTAAAAATATTTAAGGCTGAATATGTTATAATTGAGCTTCAAACTTATACGATGTTCTAATTTTTTATCATTGGACATTTCTACAGTATTTTCTAAGACTGTTCGACGCTGCATACCAACAACACCTTGGTGAACTATATGGCTTTAGTTTCGTATCACTGAAACTTTAGTCATTATTCTTTAGCCATATGTCATCTTCGAGTATTCTCATATTCAATTCGAGTATTCAATTTGAGCTTATTATACATCAATACCATTGCTATCATAATTATTCATATCGATATAAACGGTTTTTCAGCAAAAAGTGTACTTATTGCATCGCTTTTGTTTTTATCTTTGCTTTTGCAATTTTTGTTGTCATCGCTGTCGCCGTCGCCAGTTTTTATGTGATTGGCAGCAATAGAATGCTTGTAAACGAACTGATAAGGTCAAATACTGGAAATTATTTATTGATTTTTTAATATTACCTCCATTCAGATTGTCAACATAAAGTTGAATTAGTTGGATAACTATGAAAGAAGAATGAAATCGAACTGGAAAAGTACTTTGTTTCCTTTTTCTTTCAATAAACATTCATTTTAAGGAAAATTGTTGATATGTAATAAATTATATCAGATTTCTTAAAGCACAAAATTCAGTATTCCAATTTTTAATCTTTCTTCAACTTCTCCTCATTCTCTTACCTAGCTGAATTATCCGTTAGATTAAAATCTTATATTCAGCGAATGAAATTTTAATAAAAACAAAAATTTCTCTTCCAGTTTTTACTCTCGCTCTCTATTACGGTGTTTACATTTGAGTAAATAAAAAAAAAAAGAAAAAACATATATGATTTAGATTTTTCTACCTATTTTATAAAAATGCATTCCGATAAACGAATATGATGAAGATAATTTGAAACATTTTTAAATGTCTGGAAACAAAAAGAGAGTTTTAGGCAGTTAAACGCTATGATTTTGCAATAACTGAAACGGAATGAATGGAAGGAAGAGTAAAATGACTATGGCAAAGTTAAGAACTTTGGGAACTTTCCTTGAAAATATTCCATCAAACCTCATTATCATTATCATTCATTATTATCGTTGCCATCAACAGCAGTTTAATTGATTCCTTACAATGAATGGAGTATGTTAAGAAGGTAATTGTAAACGATATTTTTACATCCTTGTAAATATCTACTGTTTGTTTTAAAGAGTACATATTTCTAGAAATAAGAATTTCAGTAATTAAAAAAAAGCACTTCTTATTTCCCTGTGCAAGCGATTAAAATAAATTATTATCGTTCATCTAAATTAATCTTTATTTTCCGAATAATAATTCAGGAGTATGTTTTAAAGAAATTGTTTTAAAGGAAACGAGAAATTTTACATAGATAAATTTAAATAATATGAGATGCTTCCAAATGAAACCTGTCTCATTGTTTATTCATTAACCTATGAAAACAGCAATAACATTGGCAAACCGGCTAGGTTGTTGATGAAATTATTTTAAGAATTTTCGTCAATATGATTACCCTTGTATGTTTACTTATTTAGATTATGCTAGAGAAACTTATCACTTTTTGTTTACAATTCGGATACTTTCAGGCCTTTCTTAATTTAATGATTCATATAGCTTATGCTTTCGTTTTTTAATTCTTTTCATTTTAAACGTATTGGATGTCTAAATAACAAGGTCTTCAACTTTTTGAAGTGAATCGACAAACTAAAATATAAAATGATATATCATGATTAAATAATTTAATTAAATCAATTAATTCACTTTTTAATGTTATTGACTCGTTATTGTAGAATGTCACGCAGCATACCTTCCTTTTAAACAATTTTCTTGGTTTCCATGAAAAACTTAGAGGGATCATTCCGGAATACTTCTCGTTTAATTGTTGATTCTCACTCTTGTTGTTTTATCTTCCCAACATTTATGTTGCTCTGCGGCGAATCATATAAAATTATTAATTAAATTATAAATTATAGTGAATGACAAAGCGACGTTTGCCATAAAAGATACTATAGTTAGATGCGGCACATTTAGTAAATTAGATCAAAGACATTAAATAATCTTTTACAAAGGAAACAATGTTGTCTTTAATTTATTTACCATTGTTACAGATCAAAATTAATATCAATAAAAATAACAAAACAGCTACATCTGTAATTTCATTCTTCCAGAAATTCTCCGAGGTTTTTTGGAAGAGTCAAAATATTATTAGGGCTAAAAAAGAAGCTTAAAAATATAAGGACACATCATGATCGAGAGAGAAAAAAGTGGTTTAACGCCTTTTTTTACTAATCCTTATTTCAGTTATTAACTAATTTTCAAATTTTCCAACTGAAAAGTGAAATGGAAGAAGAAAACACTTAATTTTCAAATATTGTTTTTTATTAGTAAGTGCAATGATTGCAAAATATTACTACACCTCGTACAACAACAATGTGTTAGTGAACCAAATCAAATGACATTCAATGTTACTATCACATCCGAAATCCATTCATCATTTTCATCGTTTTTATAAAATCTAAAAAAAGCAAAACAGCCCTACATTTTTAAATTACATCGTTTTGAATAATTAACACTTCTTCACTTCCCTTATGCTCTCCTCTCCATTCTCTCTTATACCGTTTTATGTCGATTGATTTTCCATTTTCATAAATTTTCCACTATTTTATGCTTTGAAATTTACTACTTGAATTATCTAAGGCTAATATTTCTTTCTTGCTATTTACCTTTTTGAATCGAATATTTCAATCGGATTTGTAATAATATTTGGTTTCATAAAAAACAAAATGGGTTAAAAATTTTGTTCAAAAAATAAGCAAACCAAAAATGTTATTTACACAGTCAATTAGTTCGAATTGCTGTTGTTCGATTGATAATTCAAGGATGCAGTATCAATTTCCTGAGAGAGCATTTTCTCTCTTCTCCCTCTCTCCTTCCCTCTCATATTGCAATCACTTTTAATTCTCTTTCCGTTGATCATATTTTTCCCTCGTACCCGTAAATCGTTTATGGCATATTTCACTCGATTCATTTCATCCATCCAACCATTCATTCATTCCATCCATCCATCCATCTATTTTTTTTTTTTAATATAAAGTGTTTTCATCATTTTAAAAGTTTAATTTAATAGTATTTTAAACGAATAATATCATATAATTAATTTAATTGTAAAAAAGAGAAGAAAAGAGAGGTGAGAATGAAGGCAAAAAAGAAAAAATTAAGTTTATCAATTGTTACGGAAAGAAAGAATAAGGGAAAATGCTTTCGTCAAAAAGGTAAATAAACACATGAAATTGACGTTTTGAATTCCCATTTGGCTTATATATGAATTTTTTTTTTTCTGCTTAAACACAGTTAATGATAATGTAATTTTTGAAAATAATAAAAACAGAAAAAGAGGATAAATAGAAATATCCGTTCTTGTTACAATTATCA